GCAGTAAGTAAGTAAGTTCATTTGTCTTGCTTAAAACACGAGAACGGCTGAGCCGATTGAGCTGATTTTGATTTTTAAATGTCATAGTCCAGGGAAGGTTTAAAAAGTAAGAAAATATGAAAATATTGCGAGGAGTATAGAGAGTTTAAATGTCGTTAGGGGAGGCGATACGAAGTACACCGGGTCATCCCGTGGGGTCATCTAGTTTTATATAAAAAGAACTAGACTAATGCAGGAGCATTATCTGGAACGGAGCGTGATAAATTATTATTTTTTACAGGTCACTTATTAGTGTATGAATAGCAAAGTGCAAAAAAGTAATTTACAAAACTAGTTGAATTAATCGATGAATAGCCAAACTTTTTTTACTGATAAATACGATATTAAATAATATTTTATTTATTTAAACTTTATTGCAAAATTACAAAGCAAATGGCGGACATAATGGCATAAGGCATTCTCTACCAGTCGACCAGTAAGAGCGTGAGAAAAAAACTAATATGACGGGGGCGCAATAAAGACAAATTTAAGATAAACCTATGATACAAATACTCTTAACATAATACATACCTATTATACACATATATATATACATTCATATACACACATACATATATACAATACATACATAAATACACGATTATGTCAGTCAAATATGAGAACGCTGTTTAATGTTATTAAGATAGTGCTCACGGACCAATCCTCTAAATGCAAGTCCCCAATATCGTTGGTTAAAACATATCAAAATATAAATTACAGTAGGGTCTCGCTAATCCGGATAGGTAAAAACAAGACCCCTTCCGAATTATCGAGGCATCCAGATTATAGTGTGCAATTTTTTAATAGGAATAAAACACATTTTTAACTCGGGTTTCATATAGTGAAAATTTTAAGACAACTTAGACAAGAATATATAAGTGTGACGTGCAAATGTACTTAAAAAAAATTCAAACATGTACCACTACACATGAAATAAAAAAGTAACAGTTTTTGAAAAAGTCAGTAATATATCCCACCCGCGATGATCTCGCCTGTCCGGATTACAGCGTGCACCGAAGTAACGGGGGTCCGGATAAGCGAGACTCTACTGTATTATAAAAATCAGAAACTGTATCAAAAATGTAAATGCATAACATAATAGTTTCACTTTTGCATAACAAATCAGTAATTACATGACCAGTGAGTTATATACTTTTTAAAATACAGAAAATATTCATGCAGGTATGTAGTTTCGTACTAAATATAAATACGAAAGTAAGACTTTTTGCTAAGCCGATATTGTCAGTCGCTAATTAATTGATGCTCCAAGGTACCCAAAAAGGCAGATGTTAAAAAAAGGTTAATTTAAAGAATCAAAGACCCGGCTGCTTAAATATTACTTTAAATAAAAACTAAAAAAGGAAAAAACAAGTTTAATTCTGTTGAATAAGGAACAAAGCTACTTTGACTTTTTGGCGGGATCGGAAAGCGTCACTTTAGCAGTTTTGTTTTTCTCGTTAAAAATTGTGAAGTGGCGGATGTTAGTGTCTAATAATGGTGGATTATTAACCACTAAGTGTTCGGGAACATGCACAAGTGTTGGCAAGTCAACAAAATAGCGGAAAGTGTTTTTCGACGTTCCCTCTAGAAGTCCACGGGGAGGTTCCTGTAAATCCTCACACATTTACTGAAACATAGGGAAAGGGGGATTGACTGGACTGCCACTTACTTTGTCTTGATTTATTACTTTGACCACGAGTGCTATAGAAATTGTAAACATTTTGACATTGGCTAAATGCACAAGCCGTGCGAAGCCATTTAGGAAAAACAAAAACAAAGCTACTTTAACAGTCGGGACCCATTATTGAAAAAAATACAATTTTTGATTATCTAATGGGTTTTGAATATTTAATCGGTCTCCTTTTTTATTTCACAATTTTTAGTTAGGATTATAAGACGGTATATACCGCACTCTTGTCACTGCAGTAAGGCAGTTAATATCGCGGGAATTATTAAGTACCTTGCGGTGGTATAAACGATTGATTTATTAAGACATATAGATACCTTACCACCAGGTCAAGGCTACAGATGGTCCTCAATTTTCACAAAAATGTATGAAGTTTTATCAAGCCGTTATCAATGTATCTAATGTATGTAAATTTTATAGTTAACTAGTATCTACTTATTCAAAAAGTCATCTTTTGCTTATGTTCTTTTTAGAAGCTTAGGAGTAAATATAAAATTGTACAACGAGTTACTAAAGCATAATGAGCAGATAGACGAATTCGATAAGTTTGTTACAACCTTAAATGATTACCCATCCTTGAATATCTAATGGGTCCCGACTGTTAAAGTTTCTTTGTTCCTTACTTAACAGAATTAAAGACTACTGGACTTGTTTTTTTCTTTTCAGTTTTTATTTAAGCAGTCGGGTTTTTGATTTTTTAAATTTACCTTTTTTTATAAATTATGTGAATACTATAGGACTATTAAATAATTTCAAATATCAAAGATACCTTGACATGATTATTATTATTCTTAATTCTATATATTGTTAAAATTGACTTGATATTTATTTGATAGTTGTTATTATACTACTACCTATAATGTTAATATAAATTAAATTTTAGCTATAAGCCCAATATTGTTATGTCCTAACAGGACTCAATATAATGTAAGAACTTATTTACCACATGAAACGCAATAAAATTTCTGATTTTTAATATAAATTTACTTTTATTCATCGACTACCTACAATCTATCTACAATTGACAGTGGCTGCATTGTTAAGGTCCGGCTTTATGATTGCAGAACAAACACAAATGCAGTGTCATAACCTACTCTCATAATTTGTTTTACCTACATAATTCCCCAAAAAATATAAAAATAAATTGCGCTGAGGAAATCAACTGAATAATCGCCAATTTCGAATTTTTGAATGGTTTGGAATCGATGTAATGTTTTTGACCTCGATATTAATGACGATTAGTTTGCTACCCTAACTTTTTCATCTGGTGACACGGTAGTCATCAGATCTTATGTAGAACCAACTTCCTAACTCTACAAGACCTAAGGCCTAATTTCACAAACTGTATATGATTAGGCCTTGTAGAGTAAGGGCGTGCAGAGTTATAAGGCAGGTAGGAACTTAGCTCTACATGAGACTTAATAACTCGAAAACATATGGTCTCGTCTTGGCAACACTTTACATGAAAGTGTATTTAATTTTTTTTTCTTTCTTTATTAAGAGGCTTTCATTCTACGAATATGCCAGCCTCATCGTACCCTAACCAAAACATACACAACTAATTTAATTTAAAACATTGGAGAGGGCGAGCTATTCTTACTAGCGAAAACCATATCAAACATCGACCTTGCAGCATCTGAGTTTGGTAGTGCTAATATTTCCACAAACGAACCTATATTCTCAAAGTTAAATTGATATTGTTGTATGAATAGCTCGCTCTCTCTTCTGTTCTTCACACATTCCATCAAAATGTGTTGGACATCGTCCGCTTGGTCACATACTTCACAATTGGGATGATGACTAATTTTTTTTTCTTCGTTTATCAGGTAGATTATCAAAAAGTATTGGACACGTATTGTTTCTTTTCTCACATATTATAAACATTGCAGAGATATATTGATTTGAAAAGTCGCATGACGTCACGTTTGAGTACACTTATAAGTGAAAATTCACTCAAAAGTGACGTCACCCGCCCCTACTCCCAAACTTTGACGCGCTACAACTTTGTCATTTTTTGGTTGCTTGCCCAAAGAAAAAATACATGTCCATTATTTTTGATCATCTAACTGACGGACTAAATAGAATTTCGTTTACTGTACCCCGTCAACATCCCTATTGGAAGAATTAGCTTTCTTCATCAAATGTGCAAACTTCCTAGATGGATAATGACCTGATCGTAATCTGTGAGCAAGGACGACTTAAGACCTATTTAATTTGGTTTCTATGAACCATGGAATCCGAAGATACATGGGATTCACTTATTCAGCTTTTAATTGTTAAAATGGTATATTATCAAAAACACAGATTCTCATTAGGCAGAACTGAAAACCAGTGCTTTGCTCTTAGAGCAAAGGTATCACTGAGTTTTTGCCTTTTTCTGTCGTTGCGGCACACAGTTACATACCTAGTAATTAATTGTTTTATTTTTTTACTTGAATTTGTGTGCTGTACTGATGGGAATAAATGATTTATCTATCTATTTTAGCCTAAATTCGGTCCCCTACATAATGGAGGCTTGGAAACTTTACTCGCAGCCAGAAACACGATACGATTCCACCAAAAGGTAGCGGTTGCAGCTAATATTTTACATTATCGTACATTAATACTTTATCACTCTTGTATCTAGATTTATACATTCGATACAATATCTTTAAATACAATTTTGACATTACTCCTGCTAGCAATAAGAGCCATGTTTGTATTCTTATTGATTGATTAATATGCGTTGCTGGATGTTTTTGGAGTCACGCAGTGCGTGTTGAAACACGCAACATGAATGTGGTAATACCAATACAAAAGACTTGCATTAGACACTTTGATTTTTTAAACTTGTTTGTGGACTGCGGTCAAATCCATTGTTTTTTTTTAGAAAACTCTTCTATACATAATTTATTTCTAATTGAATATGGTTTTTGTTTTTATAAAAACTTTAATAAGTTTAAGTACAACGTAGCAGTATATTTGACCAAGCTCATTGTTAAGTATTTTTTGGAAATAAATAACAACCAGGTAATATAAGACAAGATTTAATGTTGGTTTTAAAGCTACCTATGATAGAAGAAGATATTTATTGTTTGCTATTAATAAGACGTTAATTTCAACACACATTTAAAGAGTTTTCCAATGAGTTCTTCAGGTACATTTATTTTTAATTTTACTATAAACGATAATAAAGTAGTAGCTACTATTACTTTAAATTGTTTTGCTATATCTTTTTAAGGCGTTCACATAACATCTTCGTTTGCCTAAAAAGAAAAAAAAAGCAATGACTTACCAAAAATAGTAAGACACCGCTTCCCCAACCGGGCGATATCCGCCATAGCTCTCGTCTAATGTAACGCTTACGTCACGACACTTTCACTGCGCGCGCGCACAACAATAATGCGATAATCACTTATGAAACCTCGCGGACGGACGCTGCACTCCACCGAGCGTATGGGCCCAAGTTCAACGCACTGGCGAAAAATTTAAGCTCATTGCCCGAAAGAAAAAACATGAGGGGAAAAAAAGTAAAAATCAGGCGAAGGGCTCGCGGGATTTTGGAGGGAGAATTTAAAAAAAAACACGCGTCGTGCACGCTCACTTTCGTGGCGGGCAATGAGGCGGGAGTGTTGGTGGCGATGCTTTTACTTTCTTGCGACGAGCCAGCCAGTGGGGAGTGATCTGACTGATAGCATAGCGGATCTGGCGTAGCGCAAGATACACAATGAACATTGTCCCGCGATGTCGCGGAGGTGGGAAAGTCGCGAGTGTTAGCGAAACACGTGTTGTGTTGGCGCCATATTCATTGAATACATACAGCCTTATGATTGGAACTCGAAGGTGTAACTTAAAAACCGGTCAAGTGCGAGTCGGACTCGCGCACCGAGGGTTCCGTACAAACTCGATTTAATACCTCTACGCGTTCATGAGAAAAGAGGTAGTAACTTTAAAATTTTTAAAAATATTTTTTATAATATGATGTAACTAAAAATTTACGATTTTCGCAATTTTTCCTTTATATGTACCCCTAGCACAATGATATCGTTATGTATGTATATGAATGTAATTTGAATTCACATGAGATTCATATTTTTAGAGTGTGTACCTTAACTGTTTTGTTAAAATATGGCACTTAATTTATTTTTATAACCGCAATTAGTTTTGTTTCTAAAGCAACGTCCACAGTCTCGTGGCTCGTTTGTTTGTCGGTATTGTATGCAGTCACTTTTAATATATTACATGTATGCAATTATTGAATGCAAAGTAGGGAACAAAATTAGATTCTGTACCCCTAGCACGAACCATTATCGAATTCGAATAGTTTGCAAACCGAAATGCCCATGTCAAATTTTGTATGGAAACTTGAACAGCAGCGGCATAAAGTACGTAACTAGGTAGGGTACTGTACCATAAGACGTTACTTCGTACCAAATTTCAAGATTCTAAGTTCACGGGAAGTACCCTGTAGGTTTTGATTCCCGTGCGAGTTTCGAAAATTTGCGGCATAAACGGCTGTATCTTTGGATTGCTTGGGCTTAGAAGTTAGATTTTTTCACATCTCTAAGGGACAGTAGACCTGAGTATTAGATATGAATTTCAGATTGATACCTCCACGCGTTCCTGAGAAAAACGGTCTTGACAGATGGACGGACGGGTTAACGGACGGACAACAAAGTAATCCTATAAGGGTACCGTTTTTTCCTTTTGAGGTACAGAACCCTAAAAAGTTTTATTTTCATTTCGCACATTGAATTAAATGAGCCAAGTGTGCATAAGGCCACACGCAATATGGGTTCTGTAGTTGCTCATCGCATTTCGGGGCATTAAACAGTACCCTTAGCACGAACCAAAATCGAATTCGTATCGTTTGCGAGTAACAAATGTCATTAAATAAAACTAGTTTTTACGGGTTAATGCACGAAAACTTTATTTTCATCCCACCACCTCGGAAAGTGTAATTTTGCGCTTCGAAATCTGGCTGGAAAATTCTATTTTATTCGCTTGAGCGGCAAAGTAGATTTGAATTTAGAACATCACATATAATGAGTACTCAATATAATTGTAAATTCAAAACGTCATTAAACCTATTTAATGTAACCTCTATGGTGCCAAATTTATGATTAGAACTTTTTAAATTGTGAAAAAATTTAAATTTGGAACCTTCTTGGTTTCTTTGTTTTATTTGCGTGCTTCGCGCCATTCTAGTTTTTCACGTTTTATTGCTTAATATAATTAACATAACCTAAAAACTGTACAAAAAAATCAACTAAAATGAGTGACATTAGCGACGATGAAGTTTATCTAACGCCAACTGAGTTAACTGAAACAGTTAATAATGCGCAAATGAGCCTTCTCCCTCAGCAATCACGAGAGAAGTATTTGAAACAGTACGATATATTTAACATGTGGCGACTAGCTAAAGGAGCAAAAACTTTCTCCGAAAACGTTTTGCTGGCATATTTTATAGAATTATCTGAGACCAAGAAAGCAAGCACGCTATGGAGTACGTATTCAATGCTAAAATTAACAATTAAGATGAAGAAAGACGTTCATATCGACACCTATCATAAATTAGTGGCATTTTTAAAAAGAGCCTCATCTGGTTATAAACCAAAAAAATCGAAGGTTTTCACAGCATCTGAAATTGCAAAGTTTATTAATGAAGCACCTGATTCCGTATATTTAGCGGCAAAAGTAAGTCAATACGTGTAATTTTTTGTTGTTGATAAAATTGTACATAGTACTTACAATATTTTTAATTTGATTAATTTATTTACGATTATAAATACTTCTTTTGTTACAGGTTGTTCTTATTATTGGTATAACCGGAGCATGTCGAACAAATGAACTTACACTACTTAATGTCAATAACGTATCAAAATATTCTCATAATTCTGATGAATTGCTATTAATTAATGTACTAAATACCAAGACAAAAAAAGACCGCAACTTCGTTATTCGCAAGGAATATGTAAACATTGTTCAGAAATATCAAGCTTTACGTCCTTCTAACACCCCAATTGAACGATTTTTTCTACAATATCGCAACGGAAAGTGTATCCGACAACCTATGGGTCAGAATAAAATTGGCAGTATTCCACGAGAAATAGCAACTTTTCTCGGACTTTTATAACCCCCGTTATACACCGGTCACTGTTTTAGAAGAACCTCAGCCACACTTTTGGCCGAATCAGGGGCTGATCTTCTATCGCTTAAGCGCCATGGAGGCTGGAAGTCTAATTCGGTTGTAGAGGGATACATAGAGGATTCAATCCAAAGTAAATCAAAAATTTGTAATAGTATCGTGGAGGCCATAACGCTGAAAGAACCTCTGTCAGATTCTTGGTCTCGCCCTTCTACATCTAAAATGAGCCCCCATAAGATTGGAAACAATAGCCCTCTCTCGCCAACATTTACGCCAATAGAATCCAATGAATCGGCACAACTATTTAAAATTGCTGATACGAGTAGTTTACCACAAAACAGCGCACAATTCACAAACACCAACATAACATTACCTAACAAAAATATTAAACTTAACATAAGTAACTGTAGCAACGTTACATTTAATATTTCTTAATTATTTTCTACTTCTTATTATTTTCTTCAATTTATAGATTATCTTAATGTGTTTTAATTGAAATAAAAATATTTTGTCATTATAAATTGTTTTCTTTTTCATTTTGTCATTTCCTCGCTGAGGTGGGATGAAAAGTTACGTATTGCACTCGAGTGGAAAGATTTTTCACCTTGTGCTCGTTTGTTTCCCTCGCTGACGCTCAGGATTCTAATTTAGAATCACTCGCTGCGCTCGTGATTCAACTTTAGAATCCTTCGCTTGCTCGGTCATCCAAATCGAGCACGCGGTTAAAAAGGAACTTTCCACTCTTGTATAATAAATAACTATTATTTATTGACGTTTCGTAGCCTTTACAGGCTACGTCGTCAGAATAACTTCTGACTTTTAATTTTACAAAAAGAAAATTTATTCTGACGACGTAGCCTGTAAAGGCTACGAAACGTCAATAAATAAATAAAGTTTTCGTGCATTAACCCGTAAAAACTAGTTTTATTTAATGAGTGATGTGCGTGAAAACCTAAGAAACAAATAAAGAAATGTCATTGTCAAATGTGTACTGATTTTTGGTTCTCTTTACGTACGATATGGCGCTAATTTTTTGGCGCAAAATTTGACAATGACATTTCGGACTCGCAAAATATTCGAATTCGATAATGGTTCGCGTTAAGGGTACAGTATCTGGGTCTGGAACAATGAGCAAATACTTTGCTCCATGGTACGTAAACTTGCGGTTATAAGCGCAGGCTTCGTACGGTCCGACACACAAAAGACACTCACTTCTCAAATGCGTTTGTTTTCAAATTGTTTTGATTATTTTTTTATGTATCTATGTTATACTGTTTATAATTTGACGACCTCCGTGGCTGAGTGGTTTGTACGCCGGATTTCATGGTGTCGCCGACTCGAAAGGTCCCGGGTTCGAATCCCGGTGGGGCAGGTGTTTGTGTGATGAATACGAGCAATTTGTACTTCAGTCATGGATGTTTAATATGTATTTTCTTTATAAATATACTTATACATATATGACAGTATATGTATTCTTTCCGTTACCCTAGTATCCCAAACACAAGCCTTAAGTGCTTACTTTGGGGCTAGGCTAATTAGTGTGAGTGTTGGAAATATTTAACTATGAACGCAAGAGCACTTCAGACATAAATAAAATAAAATTAGTTTTAATCTACATTTAGAAAATATTTAAAACATCACACTAATATATATAAAAGCGAATTAAATATATTATAAAAGAGAAAGTTTGTGAGTGTGAGAGTGTGTATGTCTGTTACCTCTTCACGTCTAAACGGCTAGAGCGATTTTGTTAAAATTTGGTATGGAATTAGCTGACACCCTGGATTAACATATAGGCTACGTTTTACTGCGGGAAAATATACCTAATAAGCCGAGGGTAACGCTGCGGGGCACAGCTAGTTGACTATAAACATTTCACCTTACAGCGTAATGTTTTTTGAAATGTAAGATAATTGAGAAACAGTAGATCACTCAACTCTGCGGCATCAAAGGTACAATACATCAAGAGCAGTAGCGTAACTCAGCCGTTTTTTTGAAATAGATACCTACAAAATGTTAAATATATTTGTGTAGATTTGTATTGTATGTGTATAGTTACTATTGCTACGTTACGGAATTGAAACGGACGCAGACGGCGCGGGCGACGGCGGCGCGGCGCAGCTAACTTAACTTGGCCAACGGCAACGACCAGTCTCGGCGGCGCGCAGTATAACTCTATAGTCCAGTCGGAATAAACATGAGACCTATTCTAAGACACCAGCGTTTAGCCAATTTTTTCCTAGATAGTATAGACCCCCACGAATATGCCCTCCATTTGTCCCCACTAGAACCCGTGTTTTGTAGCCAGGAAAATTGTTTAAACAAAGAAAAACCGGTTTTTTTGAGTTTTTTTGCTTGTAAACGGGGATTTTGAAAATTTTTTTGAATCAAAGTTGTTAATTAGCTTGCCCTCTACAAAATCAGTTCTATGAAAAAATAACGTGAGATTGTTAGTTTAGCAGTAAATTGCAATTATGTCGGTTTTACGTTTGCTACAATTCAACATGTTATAATAAACATTTTGATTTCTAAAGTAGTTTATCATGTGGGTAACGCCACTCCCAAGAGAGTCATGTAAAATTTATCGACCTGTGTCGCAAACTT